CTATTTCTTCGAAAAACAGACTATTTTTCCCAAGTGATGTAGTATGTCCATTCTATGGTCCACATTAAAAATGAGTCTTTTGGGACAAAGGCGTATTTTACTGGAAGAGTACAATATATAGTTTACGGCTTTTGCATGTCTCCTTAACTTCCCAGGTGTTTAGTCAATTCATATTAAATGAAGTGATAGTGTATTATACTCTTATAGACTAAATTATAGTGACCACACGTTGTATAGTCGAAGTAGTTATGAAGATATTAATTGAATAGGCTAGAATAAATCAGGTAATGCAACTAGCTTACAAGATATTGTATTAAAACGAAGGTGACTCCTGAAAGAAAAACAGAGTGTACTGCTTTAACAAGCAATGCAACATATATTATACTTTCTCCGAGTTCATGCACACAATTATTATCTATTATCTATGTTTGCTTTGTATAATAATATCAATTATTCCTTTATTCATTTGTTTTTGCAATGCAATACATCAAATAATATCTTATATTAATCTCTATACTATAGACTATCTTCATTTCATAGCCAGTATTGCTTCAAGCCTTTGACCAATGGCCCTTTGAATGCCAGTATTTCTGGTCAGTGCCAACGTGGAGGCGCTGATGCTCAACACCATTTGAATCCTTGAACTTCATAGCAGTGTTGTTGGCATCAAAGAACTTGACTGTAAGCCGCTCAAACTGATCAGGGTCATTCGGATCCTGTGGCTGGTGATGCGATCCGCTGTGTAGTTGTGTAAATTCCAAGTCTAGCTCTATCTGCAATTGTATGTATGCATTTACTCACCTCACTTCAGCCCATTCGGCACCAAGATCGTCCAGACCGGTCTCTTTGGCATAAGCGAAGACGTTCTCTCTCATGGCCTGCTTCTTCTCTTGGTCTTTCTTGTAAGTCTGAGGAGGCCTGAACTTGACGGTTGAGATATCACGCCTGAGCGTGGTAGAGCCTAAGCCAACGACTTTCTGCAATGCCTTGGACATGTTTATCTCTGTTCACTTGCTGATATAGTTTCTAAGCTGCTGTTTGTCTGTGATGTGTGGTTTATGGCTCGATTGTATTGAATTCCATCGAACTTTATACCTTTCTCTGACTGTTGCTCCTTCCCTCTCTCGACAGCAAAGGTCGCATCTATTTGCTCGAGACAGCAGACGACTTACACTGACGATTTGCAAGTCGGCAAGTTCTTTTTTTTGATGTGACAGCATTTTTTGAAACGTTTGTCCGAAGTTTTGTCTTTGAGGCAATGGACTATTCCATACAGGAAGGACTGAAGCAATCAATTCGGGATCAGGCCATCAGGATTGCTCTTGAATATTATTCCTGACGCTCAAACGAAACAATGAATAGGATTTATTCCAACTTCAAACACTTTAAGGACTATTGAGAACGTGCAGCTACTGAGCAATGCCTCGCCACATAAACAAAACAAGACAAAATGATTGATCCATATAAGGACGTAGTTTGGAACATGTGTGAAAATCCAAAACGTTCTGTCTATGCAGCGAACAACAAATCTGTTTCGTGTACCTCCTTATATTGCTCTCGGTCTTGCCATTTTCTTCCGGCACTATACCATTTTCAAAGTGATTGGCAATATGTTTTACTTCTGCCACAAGGTTTGATACTGGATAAGTATAGATCAGACACGAAATTTCGAAACGGAGGCTCCGTTTGGATATTCGGATTGAATTCTCGCCACAACCACCTGATCCGAGCTTGTTGTCTGCAACAACTGTGTATTATGACAGTATTCAAATAACTCATGAAAATGAAAATTTACCTCTGCACTGCTTCAGTAATGTTTTGCTGCACTTTGATTACATAGGAATGAGCAAAGTTCTAATATTATCTCAAAGAGGCAAGTCGTATGGGTTTTCAATTTGTGCCCTTTTTACTATATCTTTCTACTTAATAATTAAAAGGCTGAGAGACAAATATGAGCCTTGTCTGAATTTCAGAACTGACAACTATAACAGAAGAAATTCTGTGCTGGCTGGTTGTATTCCATACAACATTCCTTGTATTCTCTTACAGAAGGACTGAAACATTTACACTTGTCACATTCTGAAGATAGAATCCTACTACACTTAATATAGGATGATCAGACTGTCCTGTATCACATTCCCCTGTATGTGTACAAAATACAAAGCCAATACTCTAGAAAGAATGGCGTACAATGCATGCTGTCAGGATTTCAAACAAGTTTCATGCTGCGATATTCACAGACTGTTGTCAGGTACTAGTGTTACAATTACTCAGACAACAAGTGCCTCTGCATTGCAGAGTACCTGTTGTACTGATACAAGAAGGGCTATTGGACAAAGGTTTGAAATGCATGTAGAGTAATGCCTTCGTGTGTGAACATGGCTACATTCATAACAAGCAAATAAATGGTTGATATTATGACATCGCTTTGAATTCTTCGCCTAGATTTCTTTCACAAATATTCTCTTGCAACAACACCGCGGCGTTTCAATGCGACAAAGGTGGAACTGCGAACCACGGTTAGATCTATTGGAAAATGGAGCACTCAAAGGATTCGTTTCCCTCTCGCGTAAATGTGATGATGTGATCTACGGTTCGTGAGTACCTTGGTTATTAGAAAGAAACGGAGATCATCGGGTAGAAAGGAAAATGACTCACCACCAAGAGAACGCGTCGTAAATCCAATTTCACAGTAGCAACTGCGTACATCAAAGAGAAGTAGTGGAGATTGTCCAATCAGAATCGGTATTACGTGTGAAAGGGAAGAGAATTATGAAAAAAAAAAACATACTAGTAATCTGTGAAGAGAAGTACCACGTGGAAAGATAAGAGATCTAGAAGTATGGAAGAAATAAGGCGAAAAATAACTTACAAATCCATTTTCGCCTGAATACTTCAATCTCTCGTCGGCCTTTCTCACCGGCCATAACGTCCGGATAGTCTTCGCGAAGCGCAGGCTCAATTACATCTTCGAAGCGTGCTGTGAATCGCCTCCGCCATTCGCGAAGCGTTCGTGCATAATGAGGTCCAATATTAGATACGGAGTCCACGACGAGACGGCCGCGCGATCCAGCTGTGAGAGCTTGGACCAACAGCGTCAGCGTCGGAAGAAATCCACCTGGAAATACTAGAGATAATTAAACATGAGAACATAGCAATGACAACAATAATAAGAGCCGTAATTACTCTAAAAAAGGGTATGATACACAATTAAGTCGAAACATTCCTCGCATTTTACAAACATAGCTTACCCATTTTCGGATGAAGTCCACTTCGCTCGTATAGCGTTCAAATCCTGCCAGTGAATTTAAAAGGTGGATTCACTAATAAGTTATATCCATTTACGCACTTGCTTCCGGGATAGTAATACTCTGAATGACGCCGATGCCAGTGCCTGGTTTCAATGCCCAATTTACCACGCGGAAGTACTCTTCAAGGTATTCTCGTCCGACGGCTTCAACCATTTCAATGCTGATAACGCGGTCGAATAAACCTGCCCATTCGGTTGGCAGGGCGCGATAGTCCAGCAAATGCACCCGTACTCGAGACGAAATATCTGCTCCGGCCCGTGCAATGCGTTCTCGCGCCAATGATTGCTGGTGGACGGAGAGCGTAATAGTGTCAACAGTCGTTCCAGGCAATTGCGTTGCTACACGTATCGCAAGTGAGCCCCACCCAGAGCCGATCTCGAGCACACGTTGCCCGGGCTCAATACGTGCACAGCGAATAATGTGATCGATTTTACGAATCTGTGCTTCATACAACTCATCATCGTGGATAAACTCGTCTGCCTGTAATTCGTTGTTCGGCGTTCCAGTTGGCGTTGGTAAGGAATGTTTAACCTCCGCTTTGTTACGGGAAGAAATATCTACTTCTAGAGGTAATTTGAGGTCGCCGTCAAGGTCCTTAAAAATTGCGCAGGAATAGGTCATGTCTTCGGACAAGAAACCTTCGAACATCTTGTTTGAAATATCATAATGTGCCGAGATGTTCGAGCGAGAATTGCTGAGCGTATTGATAAACCGCAGTGAAGTGAGTTTTTGTGGGAGGGAGAATAAGTAAGAAAATCGAGAGTCTAAGTTCTGTAATTTTTCACGATTGCGAAGGAATATCTGGCAAACGATATTCTGTCAATACTAATATACTTCACTCCATTTTACACATACAGTGAAAATAGAGATCAAGTCGTCGCATTCGACTTCACCATACATGTAGGCCTCGGAGAATCCAAGGTCGCTCATTGTGCACAGCCGGATCCAGAATACATCACTTTTGACTCGGAGCTCGCAATGCAGTCCAGTCTCGGTGTCCTGTCGGTCTGCCGGGAAGGAGTATGTCGTATCCTCGGTGATTATCCGCAGTTGTCCCTCAACGATGTTTTGTAATAATCTGAAACAGGAGCATTAGAAAAATGGATTATGGGCAAGAGATTTATGACCACAGAGTATCACATCGCTCGTTTCTCGTACGTCATGACTAGTACTGGCTTTAAAGTTGAAAATGGATACTCACGACGTTACGGCGGCCTCCGCGACCTTCGCTGCTGGCACTGCGGCGGCATTTAGAGCACCTTCACACAGAAGCTGCCATGTTTTGTCTGCGAGGCCCCACAAAGAAAATGGGTGACGAGATGGCGTATCAAGAAGCTGCTTTGACATGACAGCAGTGTTTTCTACTGATCTTTGGACACTGATGTCTACTTGCTAGCTCTACTGTAAGATCTATAAGCCTTAGGTGCTGTCGTGGATGTAGCTGTAGTAGTTGTCGACGTGAGAAAAAAGTCGGGTGCATAGTGCTTGTTGGCGACGGGCAGAGACTGGATGGCCGATCGTGAGCAACCGTTTGGTCGTCATCGTGTGGTAAATGACACCGTCGATCTCCGCCGATCTCTTGGTGCGTGTCCAGTCATGTGACCGCGCTTTTCATGATTTATCTCCCGTTTTGGTAGGTCTTGAAGCCTTCTCATGACTCTCATCATTGAAAAAACGTCTGGCACGCGTCTGCATCATCCGAGATCACCGCATGCCTAAGTCATTTGCTCCACTACAATTTTCAAAATAGACAGGTGAGGGCAAACAATCTGACAGTGTAAACGTGTATTTGATATAATTCTGTGATGAACACAGCCGTTCCAGCAACTCCATTATAGCACTGAGTGCTTGCATTAAGACAAGTATTAATAATTATGGTGGCGCCATGGCGCGCTGTTTACGAATTCAGGGAGCCCCTGAGGCCATTAAGCACCTTCGCATCATTCGACTGGAAGGGATATTCCTCCTCAACAGTGTGGATGAGCGCTTCAGCTTTCGCACTGCGCGGCTTCACACATGCCCTGAACTCCGCAGGATGGCTGATGACACCAGAACTGAAAGCGACAACCGGCTCAACCTCCTTGCCATCCTCTACAACCTTCGAGATATTAAACACTGCAAGGCTCTGTGCAATCGTTAGGTACATCGACGCGTCGGCTAGCTCACGGCCAGGACAGGCCCGACGACCGAAACCAAAAGCGAGTTGGTAAGGCTCCATTTCCGGTGCGCGACCGCCGATACCGAGAAAGCGCTCAGGCTTGAAGGTCATCGGATCATGATAGATTTCCTGGTCGTGCATGAAACCCCTACACAGAGTTCAGCAATCTGGGTATAACCAGAGATGACGGGGGTTATGGTTTGCATTGCGACGTACCAGATGTTCGGAAGAAGTACAGAACCTTTCGGGATGTGGTAACCCTCGTAGGTGTCATCCTCCGATGTCGCATGTGGAAGGCCCATTGGCCCGATTGGATGCCAGCGAAGGACTTCTTTGATAATCGCATCAATATACGGAAGACTGTTACGATCGTCAAAGCTTGGAAGGCGTTCATTGCCAATCACACGGTCAATCTCTACTTGCGCCTTGCGCTGCACCTCGGGATATACCGTCATTGCGAGGAAGAAGCAAGAAAGTGAAGCTACGGTCTGTGTTTCGTTCAGGATAATGAGAATATCACGAGGTTAATGGTGCACAGCAGCGGCGAATAATGGTCAACTGACAGTATCGGCACCACCTGCGTAAAGAGACGCAGCAGACCACTTGATAATAAATTCTTCATCGGGGCTTATGTTCCCCTTTTCCAGCAAAGCGGAGGTGTATGACAGTGCAGCGGTGCCAGCGGCCATCTGCTGCTTGACAAATGCATAAGGTACTTCGGTTAGTTCCGTAAGTACCTTCCTCCAAAGTGCAGCCGTGCGTTTGAATCCCGTTCCCGGAATCCAATCAGGAATATGTTTCACTGATCATTAACACATGTCCGGCATTGCTTTAGTAAATACTAATGCAAATGCAAGACTAACCGATGAACATACGCACAGAGGGGTAACGAATCAACAAGCCAAGCTCCAGGTACTGCCGCGAGCGAAAAGTGCGTCATTGTCTCGTCAGCAATATCGATGAGCGGGTCACGGCCACGAGGTTCAATAGTGTAGCCGTGAGAAATTTTCAGAATGATAGCACCAGCTTCACTGTTACGTATCCCCTCACATTCCATAAGCATTCTAATGAGATAACAAGTTCGCCAACTCACGTCCTAATGTGCTGGAGGAGTCTATCCGGTTCCTCGAGCACGCGGAGAAGGAAGCGCCGGACCTCGATTCCTTGAATATCGTTGAAACGAGACACGGCCTTCTTCGTGCCCAATACGGCATGGACGTTCCTTCGAAAAGTGCGTAGACGATCTGAGTACGCTAACATTCCTAACGTGTTCTCCCAGCCAATCCTACATCTTTGTCAGAAAAATGGTCTGCTACACAGTTCAATAAATATGGAAAGCACATTTCTCCTGCAAAGACCATCCGAGGGCGCGAAGAATGCACAGCGGAACGTTTTTCCATGAGTTCCAATGCAATACGATGGTCACTGATGATAACAAGGGTTTTTCCGAAAACCGTGACTGAACTAATGGGACCTACGTGGTTATACAGAATCAATACTGCTCGTTAACAGGCAAGTCTCGTGAGAGGGAACTTACCATAAAGTTCCTTGTGCTTTGCCCAGTGCACCCACTCTTGCGCGCCTGGAGGAGGCAAATCCATGAGATTGCCTATTATTGGCTTTGGCTCAGGGCCAGGAGGAAGAGGTGCAGACGTCTTGGGTCTTAACAGCATCTTTACTAGCCACAGGAATAATATCCCGAGGAAAAGGCTGGCGAGTACAAGTAGTAACTCCATAATAGTAGCCACACAGAATGCGCAACTATTAGGCAGAACTCCAAAGACAGTACGGATTGAGGGTACTGGACATTCTACGGAGATTTCTCTGTCTTTTATCTCCCTGGGGTCATCGGCAAAATTATAGCGCTCAGACGGACTCTGTGCTTAACGGCTGTGGTCGGCGTTCGCTAAGTAACATGCATATCAAATTTTACTTAAAACAGAGCATTGATAAGCAAGCAAGTCATGCTATCGATACGACTCTTAATGTGAGTCACAGTATTATGGCTTGAGAAGTTTAGCTGGCATTTATAATATAAGAAGAAATTATTGAATTTTTGACATCACTGTATGACATATGTACTTTCCTCGTGTAAATCTCAGAATTGTGCGTTCATCGAAGAAAAAATGACTATTTGACAACTCATGTTAACAGGTGCTTAATATAAACTAGGATTACTGGCTAGGATGCAGTTGATGCATCTTGGCTATTAGGCCACATGTATACAATTGGCAGAAGTCTGTGGGTGGAAGTTAGACTTTGACCCCGTTAAACACATTCGGTGTCACTAGACTGGTAGGGATAGTCCACCTCCATTGCGCGGATGAGCGCCTCAGCTTTCTTACTTCGCGGTTTCACAGACGTCCTGTACTCAACGGGATGGCTGGCAACACCAGCGGTGAAAGCAATGGTAGGCTCAATCACCTTCCCGTCCTCAACAACCTTAGAAATGTTAAACACTGACAGACTTTGCACAATTGTGAGATACAGTGATGCATCGGCGAGCGTACGGCCAGGACAGATTCGACGACCGAACCCGAAGACAAATTGTTCAGGGTCCATCTCTGGTTCTCGACCGTTTATACCAATGAAACGCTCAGGTTTGAAAGCCATCGAGTCATGATACGTCTTCTCGTCGTGTGTAAACTCCCTGCACAGAAATTAGAGGCAATAGGGATGACAAATTGAATACGACGGACCAGACGTTTGCAATGACCAAGGAGCCTTTCGGAATGTAGTAGCCTTCGTAGGTGTCACTCTCTGTTGTCAGGTGAGGAAATCCCATTGGACCAACAGGATGCCAACGGAGGACTTCTTTGACAACCGCATTGATATACGGAAGATTATCACGGTCCTCGAAACATGGGAGACGGCCATTGCCAATTACACGATCAATCTCTTCCTGTGCCTTTCGTTGCACCTCGGGATATACCATCATAACGAGGAAGAAGCATGCAAGTGAAGACACGGTCTGTGGTACGTTTGAATAAATAAGAAAATCTAACGCATAATGGAACATATGAATAATGGCTGGTGGCTAACTCACAGTATCGGCGCCTCCTATGAAAAGCGATGCAGCAGACCACTTTATGATGAATTCTTCGTCAGGGCTCAGGTTCCCCTTTTCCAGTAAGACAGAGGTATACGATGGAGCAGCGATACCAGCAGCCATCTGCTGCTTCACAAATGCATGAGGTATCTCGGTGAAATCTAAAAGCGTCTTCCTCCAGTGTGCAGCCGTTCGTTTGAATCCTGTTCCTGGTATCCACTCAGGAACATCCTTCACTGATCAATGTCAATGACACATGTTCAGCATTATTTCAGTAACTGCTAATGCAAGATTAAACGATCACTTAATACACGCACAGTAAGGCAACAGATCGACAAGCCAAGTTCCGGGTACTGCCGCGAGTGAAAACTGCCGCGCCGCATCGTCTGCAATGTCGATGAGTGGATCTCGGCCATGACAATCAATAGTATAGCCATAAGACATTTTTAGTATAATGGCGCCTGCTTCACTGTGGACCAGTATATTCCTTCACATTCAATAAGCATCCCATTTAGGTCAAAATTGTCTACTCACGTCCTAATATGCTGAATGAGCTTGGCCGGTTCATTGAGCACACGGAGGAGGAAGCGTCGGACCTCGATATCCTGAAGATCACCAAAGCGAGCCACAGCCTGCTTCGTACCCAAAATAGAATGCATACTCCTTCGAAACGCTCGAAAACGATCCGAGTACACCAGGTTTGTTAAAATATTCTCCCATCCGATCCTAATGACCTTTATCAGAAAGTCAGGCTGCTAGACAGAGCAGTAAACTAAAATGCACATTTCTCCCGCAAAGACCATCCGAGAACGTGAAGAATATATAGCAGATCGATTGTCCATAAGTTCCAACGCAATGCGATGGTCATTTATGATGACAAGGGTTTTCCCGAAGATCGTGACCGAACTAATAGGGCCTACAATGTTATATAAAATCAATAGTGCCCGGCAATAGGCGAGTCTCGGAGAAATATACGTGCCGTAAAGTTCTTTGTGCTTTCCCCAGTGTACCCATTCCTGCACGCCTGCAGGTGGTAAATCCAAAAGATTACCTATTAGAGGCCTTGGCTTCGGTCCAGGAGGAAGAGGTGCAGATGTCTTGGGAACCAAAAGTATCTTTACAATATACAGGAACAGTATTCCAAGGAGAAGGTCGACCAACACAAGAGATCCCATGGTACAGGTTGTGAAATAAGAGTAACTTGCGTAGAGAATCCGAAAACTGTTGGATGGTGTGTGGAGAGGGAGCAGATGATTTGAGTGAAACGTATACATCCAGCGATTCCAGCCTGTCTTGCGTATGAATCCTTTAGTAAATACAAATTCACTGAATGAAGAAGTGATCGAGTTCCTTGTTTGTGTAATGAACGGAGATGTCATCAAGCCCCACAGAACAAATGGGTAGACCTTGGGTGAGCCACTAGTCAGATCTTTACCTGTGATTTAAAGGTGCAGAAGAATGAAACCTTCGATGTTTTAGGTATGGTCAGACCTTGAAATTCAAGCTGTGATTCAGATGAGCAGGATTGGATCACATACTCTGAAACTCCTACATTTGGAGTGAATTGTACTAAAGTAAACTGTATCAAACTATGCTTCATCCTCTTCTCTATGTATTGTTTTCTTAATACATATTAATTTATTTTGCTACGCACAAGAATGTACGAATTTATAATAGAATATTTGAGAAAGTACTGGCTTTATTTATTTATTTCATTTTTAGTATGACATAATTATATAGAATGATTCTTCTTGTATTAAAATTTCAATATATGCATATTTAGTTGTGCCTTGATAGAATGTTTTATTTTATGCTCTTGCTGAGAAGTTTGCACTTATTATAATCTTGAGGCTGTCACACATATTTACATGTCGAAATACAAAGTGAAACATAATTTTAAGTCATACTGAATAGAAATTCTCATGCAATTCAAGACATGACTATGTCTATGATATTGTTTTTACATTGAATTTAATGCACAACATTACTACCGGAGTTAAGGATGAGGAACTGAAAAAAACATATCTATGCCAGGTACTCATTATGCGAATGAACACTATTGAAACGGACGTGACGGATCAAATGGGACTACTGAACCTATCATGTGCGCAAGGAGCTATTGGCCAATAGAGTGCCCAAGATGGAAGTTACACTTTGATACTGGCAAGTACCTTTGCATCGCCCGACCGGAAAGGATGCTCCTCCTCAACAGTGCGGATAAGCGCCTCAGCTTTTGCACTGCGCGGTTTCACAGACGTTCTGTACTCCAGGGGATGACTGACAATACCAGGAGTGAAAGCGACAACTGGCTCAACCTCCTTGCCGTTCTCGACAACCTTTGAAATATTAAACACCGACAGGCTCTGCGCAATTGTCAGGTACAAGGACGCATCAGCCAGCTCGCGACCAGGGCAGATCCGGCGACCAAAACCAAAGGCAAGTTGGTGAGGGTCCATCTCCGGTTCGCGGTCGTCGACACTGAGGAAACGTTCAGGTTTGAAGATCATCGGGTCGTGATACGTTGTCTGATCGTGCGTAAACTCCCTGCACAAAATTTAGAGATTCAAGTACTACAAATTTAAACATAACACACCAGATGTTTGGAATAATTACAGAACCTTTTGGGATGTGATAACCTTCGTAGGTGTCATCCTCCGAAACCATGTGGGGGATACCTATTGGCGTAACAGGATGCCAGCGAATGACTTCCTTGACAATCGCATTAATGTAAGGGAGGTTATTGCGGTCCTCGAAGTTTGGAAGGCGGACATCGCCAATCACTTGGTCAATCTCTTCCTGCGCCTTCCGTTGCACCTCCGGGTATATCGTCATTGCAAGGAAGAAGCATGCGAGCGAATTTACGGTCTGAGCGTGACGAGAATATCAGGAGGTCAATGGAACATAGAAATGATGAACAACAGCCAACCCACCGTGTCAGAGCCAGCCGCATATAGTGAAGCAGCAGACCATTTTATAATGGACTCTTCATCGGGGCTGCGGTTTCCCTTTTCCAGTGATACAGAGATGTACGAGGGAGCAGCGACACCAGCAGCCATCTGCTGCTTCACAAATGCATAAGGTATCTCGGTGAATCCTGTGAGCGTCTTCTTCCAACGGGCAGCCGTACGTTTGAATCCCATGCCTGGCATCCACTCAGGAACGCGCTTCACTAACATCCAGTATGTATTCCAAAGATTATCAATGCTTGTTCAATCGAACAGTTCGATAAATCTGAAAAAACGCACAGAGTGGTAGAACGTCGACGAGCCAAACTCCAGGCACTGTCGCAAGTGAAAACTGCATCATAGTTTCGTCGGCAATATCGACGAGTGGGTCTCGGCCATGAGGTTCGATAGTGTAACCATGTGCAATTTTTAGAATGATTGCACCGGCTTCACTGTAGACCATTGCTTCCCCACACATTCAAAAGAATTTTAATGAGGTAATAATAGATAACTCACGTCCGGATATGTTGAATGAGTTTAGCCGGTTCATCAAGCACGCGCAGTAGAAAGCGCCGGGCCTCCATATCTTGAAGATCGCCGAAGCGAGTCAGAGATTGCTTCGTGCCCAGAAAGGAACGGATGTTCTTTCGATAAGCACGAAGTCGATCTGAGGAGTATGTCAGACTTGATAACGCATTCTCCCAGCCAATCCTAAAGTCATCGTCAGAAACAAAGTTTATTAAACGGAAAGGTAATATGAAAAGCACATCTCCCCCGCAAAGACCATCCGAGGGCGTGAGGAATACACGGCCGAGCGTTTTTCCATAAGTTCAAATGCAATACGATGGTCGTTGATGATGATTAGAGTTTTCCCGAAGACCGTGACTGAACTAGTGGGGCCTGCGTGGTTATATAGGATCAATAGTGCCTGGAGAAAGGTGGCTCTCGGGAAAATAGACGTACCATAAAGTTCCTTATGCTTCCCCCAGTACGCCCACTCCTGTACTCCTGTAGGGGGTAAATCCAGGAGATTACCGATTAGAGGCTTTGGCTTCGGTCCAGGAGGAAGAGGTGCAGATGCCTTGGGAATTAAAAGTGTCTTCACAATATACAGGAATAGTATTCCAAGGATAAGATCGACCAGCACAAGTGAGTCCATGATAGAGGTCGTACTGGATGCGTAACTTGCAAAAAGAGCACGAAGGTGGTCGGATAGTGTGTAGGGAGAGAGTGGTCGACTAGAAAGAAATGCAGGACCAACTTTGGTCGAGTATAAATCCACCGGTAGAAATAGATGTGACGGAGAAGTCTCGAATACAAGGAGCCATCGGATCCCCATTTGTATAGCATAAGAAGCCAATGCCTGGGTCTACAAAAGAGCAGATAGGAACGGGGCAGGGTTTAAATTAATGCCTAGCCGGATCTTCACATTACACTCAGATGGCACAGAAGGATGAAAGTTTCTGGAGGAACATTGTAATGCTATCAATTGATTCAATAGACTGCACCAATATTAAGTCCAGACACTGTGTAGCTTCGCAAGCACACTCCAGCACAAAGCACACACAGAAGTCTACAAATCCAGACTCTGTTCTCAAGAAGGGACGGACAATGAATAGCTAGATGGTCGGGAGTCGAAAACGAGCTTTACATTTTCATTCCCTTGATTTCGAATACGGTTCCTGGCACGTGATGGTGGTGTTGAGTATTA